GGAGTTTTAATATCCAGCGATAAGTCTCTTTTTCAGGCATGTTCCTGTATTACAGAAAATAGCTGGAATTTTAGTAAATTCACATATGTACAGGTTGAAGCCCTTCTGCAAGAAGCCTTTGTACAGCAGCTCTCCATGTTCTGAGCCTGGAATTTTCTTCCGGAATGGGCAATTTAACTGCTTGAAGATGCTGGTCTGGGCAGGGGGGACGGGGAATAAACCCTCTGGGGATGCAGGCTCTGAGGCCGTTGATTGCTGATTGCAGGTGATCCCAAGTTCTGAGATCAACTGAAAGGCTTTTTACTCTCGTGGGAAGGTCTGTTTGTGCAACAGCTTCTCGAGGTGAAGCTGCTGGTGGTTCCCCTGGTGTGCTGCTCTGGCTGAGGCAGAGAAGGAAACGTTATCTGGGCGTGATCTGCAGGACGGGAGGTTTTCTGGCCACCAGAGAGGGGGTAGGGAGGCTCCGAAATGAAACCAAAGGGGACTTTATCTTGGATCTGGTGGCCCAGGATGACCCAGCATGTGTGCGCTGGGGCAGGGTATGGGCTGTGACTCCTCCCTCAGGCAGCCCCTGGGGTGGTTGGGCTTGTCTCCCTCTGCCCCAGCGCGAAGCTGGTCCCACAGCACCCTTCACTGAGAGATTTCCGGTACTTCTGTGCTATTCCTGAAGCATTCGGTCCAGACGAGTTATCGCGGAGGAAGGAAGGAGGGCGGTGAAAGAAGCCTCGGAGATTTTGCAGCACAGTAGATAATGATGGACAAGAACCCCAGGGTCCCGCAGGGGTTTGTAAAGTGGTGGTTTTGAGCAGCTCTTTGGTGTAACCAACGGGAATGTGCTACATGTTGTGGCCCAAAAATTGTTTCTTGGATAATCAGGAGGCAAAGTTTGGACTTGCATGGATTGAGGGTCACTTTTCTACAGGTTGTTCCACAGAGCAGGTGAGGGGAGCCTGGAACCCCCAGAAATGTACAACAGCTGCTCCGGCTGCCACCACAGAGCTGCAAACCTGGTGTCCCTCCGTCCGTCTGAGCCGTGATCATCTTTCCAGTCCAGTGGGGGTGAGGGAGCTGCTCCTCAGACCTGGGGAGAGATGCAGAGGCCCGTTTCAGAGTAAGGAACCACCACTGAAATAAAGGTGTTCTTCTATTTTAGCAGCTTGTGCTGGAGTTTTGATTTGTGAAGACTTTTTTTTCTGAGGCAGTTGGGTGAAACGCTTTGGGTGTTTGTTTCTCGGCATCCCCCGCCTTCGGGCCACCAGTTGGAGAAGACAGAGCACCTGTGGGTGGTGTCGTGGCAGGTGATTTTCCTGCGAGGCCGGTGTGTGCTCTCAAAGGGCAGGGCACACCCTGAGACCAAACAGAGGTGCAGCCCAGCACCTTGAGCTGTCTTTTGAAGTCAGTGTTTCAAAGCGCTTTTTTTTTTTTATTATTTGACCATGATGAGACATTTTAGAGTGAGAGAACAGGGGATTCATTAGCTTGGCAGTGTGGAGCCTGCCTGCAAGTGTAGTGAGAGACCTGGGGTGGGGTTTAAGGTAAGATTTGGGTGGTACGAGAGCTCTGGGGTGCGAGAGGCAGCGCTGGAAGCACAAGGAGTGCCTTGGAATCGCCTCATCCGTGCCCATGAGGAGCTGGTTGGGGCACACCTGCCCAGTGGGGGTATAGCTCAGGGGTAGAGCATTTGACTGCAGATCAAGAGGTCCCCGGTTCAAATCCGGGTGCCCCCTCCCTTTTCTCCCCGTCTTTTTCTCCAGAAAAGCTTAGGTTGGAGCTTCTGATTTCAAAGGGTTTTTAGGGTTGTATTTTTTTTCTTTTCCTCCATCTCTCTGCAGGCCGGGTCCTCCCTTCGACCAGCTGCCGGCCAGAGGTCAAGCAGCAGATTCCGCCAAGAGGAGTCTCTGTGGGGTGTTTGTGAAGTGAGAGGTAAATCTTTCAGCAGCAGCTGCTTTTTCTTTTGGGATTAACCTGCAGATCTTTCCCGTGATAGTAGAGAGATGGGTGCTGGGCAGGCACACAGCATTGGGGGTATAGCTCAGTGGCAGAGCATTTGACTGCAGATCAAGAGGTCCCTGGTTCAACTCCAGGTGCCCCCTCCCTTTTCCTTCCCTGCAACCTTCTTTCTTTTGGCCAAAATTTGTCACAGAAAGGAGGAGAGATCTCCGTGGGTCTTAAGCTTGTGCTGGCCTGTGCACATTGATTTCTGAGCTCCAATACCAAAGGTGCTGAGGCCCTGACTGTTGGCAAAGAGCTGGGGTTGTACGCTGTGAGTAAGTACTCGGTGCTTGTGTGTACTTGTCTCTGTTGGCGATTCTCTGCAGGAATTCTCTGTACACGCCTTGGTGAAGAGCTGAAGGTGAGCAGAGGGCTGCCAAGTGAAGGAGTGTAAGCAGTGGACATAAAATCTTGTTTCTCCCTCTAGTAACGCTTTTAAAATGTGCTGGTGAGGGTGCTGTGCCAGGGGGTATAGCTCAGTGGCAGAGCATTTGACTGCAGATCAAGAGGTCCCTGGTTCAACTCCAGGTGCCCCCTTTGGGTCCTGTTTTTTTTTCCAGGAAAAAGCATGGGGAGCACTCCTCACTTCTAGATCTCCCGTGTGCAGAAGGCAGCAGGGGTCTGAACTTCAATATCCAAGATACTGAGCACACAACCAGGCACCTGCTAAAACCAGTGTTGTGTCAGCGAGGAAGCAAAGAAGAACATTCCCCGTTTTATCACTGAGGAAACTGTGTAGGATTTATCTTGTGTAAGTAGTCCCTGAGTAGGTTTGTCTCCAGATTGCCTGCAGGAGCTTTCTTTGCACGTTTTTGCTTGTACTTCAGCGTGCAGAAGAGTGTTGCCATAGCACAACCTAACCAGGGGACAGAAAACCTGAGCAATACATTAAGTTTTTTATTGCTCCTTATACAGCTCCTATAGCAGGGGGTATAGCTCAGTGGCAGAGCATTTGACTGCAGATCAAGAGGTCCCTGGTTCAACTCCAGGTGCCCCCTCATTTTTCTCCTTCAGCCTTCCTTTCCCTGTAATTTCGTAAAGGAAGAAGACGGAGAAATCTCTGTGGGTCTCGAGTTTGTGCTGTGCCCCAACTGTTGGTTTCTAAACTCCATTACCAAAGGTGCCGAGCCCCTGACTGTTCGGAAAGTGCTGATGTTGAACGCTGTGTGAGTAACTACTCGCTGTTTGTGTGTCCTCATCTCTGTTGACGATTCTCTGTAGTAATCATATTTATAACTTCCTGTATTTAACTCCCTGTACCACCGTTGTCAGGTGTGTGAGCGTGGCCAAAGGGCTGTGAAGTAAAGCGGACACAAAATCTTGTCTCTCTATCTAATAATGTTTTTTAATGTCCTTGCGAGGATGCTGTGCCAGGGGGTATAGCTCAGTGGCAGAGCATTTGACTGCAGATCAAGAGGTCCCTGGTTCAACTCCAGGTGCCCCCTCTTTAGCTGCTTTTCTTCCTTGGGCTTGCGAGGTGTTCTGCCACTGGAAGGCTTAACTGGTAAGATCAGCCCAGGTTCCTCTCCTATTGATTCTTTTTCAACTTACATTTGGAGCTAGAACACGCGGGGAAAGTGTAACAAGACTGTGGGGCAGTTGTTGAGTCGAGTTACAGTTACTCCAGGAGAGATGGCAACAGGAGAGGAAGGCGAGCACGGCTGGAGAGGAAAGGGGCCAAGGCCACGGGATCAGTGACGAACGGTGTCTGTGTCGTGTGTGGGAGTGCAGCGAGCGAAGGACTTTGCTGCTGTGGCCTTTGAGTCCTGGGATTTGCAATTCCTCTGGAAGAGAGACGTCCAAGATTGGGGAGGAACCTCCTTGACCTGTTGGGGAGGTGCTGGTGTGGGGGGTATAGCTCAGGGGTAGAGCATTTGACTGCAGATCAAGAGGTCCCTGGTTCAACTCCAGGTGCCCCCTCCCTTTTTCTTTCCTACAACCTTCTTTCTTTTGGCCAGAATTTGTCACAGAAAGGAGGAGAGATCTCCGTGGGTCTTAAGCCTGTGCTGGGCTGTGCATGTTGGTTTCTGAGCTCCAGTACCAAAGGTGCTGAGGCCCTGACTGTTGGCAAAGAGCTGGGGTTGTACGCTGTGAGTAAGTACTCGGTGCTTGTGTGTACTTGTCTCTGTTGGCGATTCTCTGCAGGAATTCTCTGTACACGCCTTGGTGAAGAGCTGAAGGTCAGCAGAGGGCTGCCAAGTGAAGGAGCGTAAGCAGTGGACATAAAATCCTGTTTCTCCCTCTAGTAACGCTTTTAAAATGTGCTGGTGAGGGTGCTGTGCCAGGGGGTATAGCTCAGTGGCAGAGCATTTGACTGCAGATCAAGAGGTCCCTGGTTCAACTCCAGGTGCCCCCTCCCTTTTTCTGTCCTTTAACCTTCTTTTTGCTAAAATTTGTCACAGAAAGGAGGAAGGGAGGTCTCTATGCGTCTTGAGCTCGTGCTGTGCATGTTGGTTTCTGAGCTCCAATACCAAAGGTATTGAGGTCCTGACTGTTTGCAAAGTGCCAGGCTTGTGCAGGGTGTAACTACTGACTGTTTGTGTGTACTTGTCTTTGTTGCCAATTCTCTGTAGTATTTAATAACTCGTTGTATTTAACTCACTGTACAGCCTTTGCCAGGTTCATGAAGGTGAGCAGAAGGCTGTCAAGTAAAGGAATCTAAGCAATGGACGTTACAACTTGTTTCTCGATGTAATAGTGTTTTTAAAAGGTCCTGGTGAGGGTGCTGTGCCAGGGGGTATAGCTCAGTGGCAGAGCATTTGACTGCAGATCAAGAGGTCCCTGGTTCAACTCCAGGTGCCCCCTCTTTAGCTGCTTTTTCACCCTGGCTTCTTCCATAATCTCCTCACAGATTGACCATCAGGAGAATTTCTTGCCCCCGCTGA